TCCTTACTCCCTGGCTGTCTCCTTGCAGCTAAGAAGTACGATGCCTTCCTGGCTTCCGAGTCTGTGATCTCAGCTGGGTCCCTCCTGGGAGCTTGGAGGTGGGAGCAGGGTCCATCCTTACTCCCTGGCTGTCTCCTTGCAGCTAAGAAGTACGATGCCTTCCTGGCTTCCGAGTCCTTGATCAAGCAAATCCCTCGAATCCTGGGGCCTGGCCTGAACAAAGCTGGGAAATTCCCTTCTCTGCTCACCCACAACGAGAACCTGGTGGCCAAGGTGGATGAGGTCAAATCGACCATCAAGTTCCAGATGAAGAAGGTAAAGCATGGCTGCAGTTGTGCACCTGGGGGTTGTTCCAAGGCTCTGCCGTCTCTGCCTTGGGCTGTAGGTGTCCCTCGAGTGTTCCTCAAGCTGTGGCTGGTTTCCTCCAGCAAGGGGAGATGGTACCCACAGTGTTCCATGGCCGGCCAGAAAGGAGAAATAATTTAACTGTGGTTGATGATCTTGGAGCAAACGATGAGGAGATGGTTGGATGCTTCAGTGCTGAGCACAATCCAGTGTATTAATGCTGCTCCCAGCACGTGGGTGCTGCTCACGGGGTGGGACCTGGCCAGGGCTGTCCCTGGGTCTGAGCACGAGTGGGACTTTGCTGGGGGTGAATTTGGGACTTGGCTCTGTCCAAGTGAACTTGGGAGCAGCTCTGTGGGGACACATGTGGGAGGACACAGCAGATGGGAGGGTTTGCAAACGCTTGAGCATTTAAAACAGCTGAGCTAGTGATGTCCTGACACTTGGCCTGTTGGCTCACTCATAAATCCCTGTGCCTGCAGCCTGGGGAGCATTCCAGGCTGCTCAGAGAGGAGGCTTGGCCTCTGCCACAGTGCAGAGGGGGCTGGGGCTGGCCCAGAGGCAGGAAGTGAAGCTGGTGTGGGCATGTCCAGAGCACAGCACAGCCCAACACGCTGGTGAGTGAGGCAGCTCTTTGCATTGCCTGTGAAAGCTGTACCCCTGTCTGTCCCCAGGTGCTCTGTCTGGCTGTGGCCGTGGGTCACGTGAAGATGACAGAGGACGAGCTGGTCTACAACATCCACCTGGCCATCAACTTCCTGGTGTCCCTGCTGAAGAAGAACTGGCAGAACGTGCGAGCTCTGTACATCAAGAGCACCATGGGCAAACCCCAGCGCCTCTACTAAAGGGGGGCAGCAATAAACTCTGCAGACACCCACAGCTGTGTGTGGTTCTGTTCCTCCAGAGCTCCTCGGGGAGGGTTTGCCAAAGAGCTGCTCACTTCTTCCTGGGGAAAGCCTCAGATGCTGTGTTGAGAGGTGAATTCCAAGTGGGATGTTGGAGGTTTTGAGGGAAGGAGCCTCACCCCCCTGCATTCAGAGAGGGAGGGGAAGGAGCCCACTCTCCCCCAGAGCAGAGGTGTCCCAGCAGGTTGGGCTGTGGCCCCAGATCCCCCTGTGCCCACAGAGGGGACCCTTACCTGGTGCAGAGCTCACCTGAGTCCCTGCAGAGCCCAGCCCTGCTCAGGGGGCTGGTGAGGGCAGCAGAAGGGTTTAAATACAGGTGCCCCTCAGCAGCCCACACCTGCCCAGGTGCAGCTGCTGAGGACTTGAGCACTGTCTGCAAGTCCAGGGGTGCTGAAGGACAGAGCTGCAGCCCAGCAAGGGCTGTTTCCCTCCCCTCTTCCCTCTGAGCCAGTCTAACTCCATGTTCTGGCCTAAAAATGAATTTTCCTGCAATTAAATAATGTGCGTAAATAAATACATTGTTCAGGGACTGGAGAGCTTAAGGAAGTGCAGCATTTAAGCTTCTGGGGGGAGAAAAAAATACTTTGGGCCCTGGAAAAGCTTGTCAGCATCCGAGGGAATAAAACAATGAAAATAGCTCTGGATCCTGCTGTTAGAAACCTTTAAAATAAGCATCAGAGCCAGTTTTTGAAAGATCAACACAACACCAAGAAATTCCATTTAATAATTAAAAAAAGACAATACAAAATGCAAACATTTCTTTTTACAAAGTTCAAATAACAATTTTTTTTCTTTTAATCAAGTGCAAATAACTTCATTAACTACATCTTGCTCATCACTTTAATAGTTTCTGCTGGAGATGGCAAGTCCTGGCCCGCTGCAAAAGGCAGATATAAATACTCCAACATGAACAAAAAACCCAAACCAAAACCCCAACAACCCTAATTTTTTTTTTTTTTTTTTGACTGCTTCAAAACCTTGATCCCCGAGGTGGCTGATGTGGGTTTCAGCCTTTCAAACCCATTCTGAGGTGGGGGTGGGTGGCTCCAGGGGCCCTGTGGGATTTTGGGGGCTTTTTTGAGCTGTTTGGTGAAAGCAGAAGGGGGAAGCACCATTACCAGGTGCCTTTGGCCATTCCTGGAGGATTTGCTGCCCACCTCATCCTTCCACAACAGGGGAGCAGAGGTGGCTGCTGTGGTGACACAGGTGACAGCCAGGACACACCCCTGATGCCCCACAAAGGCAGTTGGGCAGTAACCTGACATTAGATGAGCCAGGGTTAATCAAAGTTAATGAACTCTGGTGGGCACGAGGGGTGTGGCACTCCAGGGCACCACAGCAGGGTTGGTCATTCCTGGGCTGATTTTATTTTTGCTGCTGTTTTTTTTTCCTTCTAAATGCAAAGGACCTTTCAAAGGTCACTGTCCCAGAGCCACAAAACCTCTCCAGATCCCTACAGCAGCTTTTGTGCATTAAAGCAGCTGCTTTCAGACAGCAACCAAGTGACAAACAGCTCAGCCCACAGATGTGGAGCTTCCAAACAGGCTGGGAGCCGGCAGCAGGAGGGGAAAATCCACAGCTGGGATGAATCAGGACAGACTTTTCCAACTGACGCATCTTGGGGACAAACCTCAGCCCCTGTGCCAGTGCTCAGCCCGCCTGCAGCCCCTCACAGAGCCCAGGAGAGGCTCCTGGGGTGCTGCAGCAGTGTGGATCAAGGAGGGAAAACAGGGATGAGCAGCTGCTTCCCCCAGATGTGGAAAGATGGACCCAGTGGGACACGCAGAGCAATAAATAATTGGTTTGTTAAAAGCAGGGCTGGGCTCAGGTGTGGGCAAAGGGACAGTGAGGGACAAGTGGGGACAGTGGTGGGAAGGGACCTGCCACTGGCAGAGCTACAGGCAGCTCAATCATGTTTAGTCCTGGCAGCTCCAGGCCTTTGAGAGGATGAGGATGAAGGTATGGGGAGGATGACAGCTGAGAATTGGGCTGGAAAAGCAGGGAGGCATGGGGAGGAGGAGGAGGAGGAGAGGGGTGAGCAGCAGTAGCAGTTGCCTGTCCCTGGGAGTTCTGTCTGTCCACATGAAGATGCTGGGGGGACAAACCCACCCGTGGTGTCCACCTGGCCATTGTCCCCAGCTGAGCCTGTCTGGGGGAGGCAGATGCAGTGAAACAAGGGCTGGCAGGATGGGTCTTCCCTGGGATCTGCACCCCACTCCCTGGGGAGGGACTCCCACAGCATCCCTGCAGGGTGAGGACACACAGGGATGGGGCCAAAAATGCCTGGTGGGGCTCAGAAGCACAAAAGCTCCCCAGGTCTGTGAGGGTGGCTCTGCCCAGGGGGATTGCTGTACCTGGGGGAGAGATTTTGGGGCTGAGTGGAGAGCCAGCTCCCCTCTCCTCCCAGCCCCCCAGACCCAGCCTCAGCAGGTGTTGGCTCATCCCTGAGCCCCTGCAGGGAAGCAAATCAGTTTGCAACAAGCAGGTGACAGGGCTGAGTTTTGATGCCCCTCGCAAGGAGGCTGGAACAGCACCCAAACTGTGGCAGATGAGTCTGAAAGGACCAACTCCACCCCCATGGATGAACCAAGATGCCTCCAACTTCCTGCAAAAACTCACCCCATTGCACCGAGCAGAAGAGGCACCGTCTGCCCCCAGAGAGGGGTTTTTATCGGGGACAAACGTGGCAGAAAAGGCCTGAAGATGCCATCACGCTGGTCAGCACAGCCCAGGGCCCTGCTTGCTCTGGGTGGGTGGTTTTTGTTTTCTTGCAAACACACATTCTCGTTTCTCAGGCAGTTATAAATATTGTCGTTTCTAGTAGAAAAAAACAAACAAAAAACCAAAAAAAAAAAAAAAAAACCAAAACAACTTCCCTCTAAATAATATAAGGAAGACTCAAATGATTGCACTTAATACATATGAAAAAGGTAGAAAGGAGGATATCCTAGTGCACAAACATTAACTCCTGCTCTTCTCGAAGCTTGCTTTTCCGAGTTACTCTTTGGCAGAGCTTGTAACAAAGTCTGGTTTCTTGGCACAAGTGTCTGGGGTGTGGG